GTGAAGCACCTGTAATACTCTAGAGGGAATTTATATCTGTAACTGTAACCAGTTCGATTTTGTTTGCTAACCTGGTTAAAATATCATATTTAATTATCTTAAAAATAAATCGTCCAGCTCAAACCTTTTAAGGGGTAAAAGATGGTGATTGTGATTTTTCATTGAAGTTCAGAGGGTTTTGTACCATAAACACATTCCAAACCATTCCTTCATTGACCTGGCCGGTACTGGTATGACTTATTTTCAAATTTGAGATCACAAGTTTTTTACACATTGAGGATGTATGCTAGTTCCAAGCATCATCTGTTGGTTCTCTGTGTAGTTGCAGGTGATCTGACAATATTTAATAGAGTTGTAACCACGAACAGTCAATCATGCCCATACTTCTGCTCTGACAAAGGCTACAGAGCGTTTTGCCTCACGTAAGGGTATATTGTAGTCTCGATTGAGTTACGAAATGAACTAGCCAAATCTCACTAATAAAGTCTTTAAAAACCCGTCTCAGTGAAATGCAGTCCAAGCCAGTGAAATGCATAATAGTTTATTAAGTGAAATATAACTGTTAATTGTTTAAACGTATGATAAAGTCTTGTTTTTGTACCGTTATTGTTAATTTACATGTTACCCAATATATTTTGTGCACCAAAAAAATTCACTCATACAGATGTTGTCCGATCCGACTCATCGAGCTGAGTCGATTGTCATATACCACTTGGTTTTCCAGGGCATTGGATCGAATGCTGGTTTTCTGGATGTGATCCTGTTAGAATCTCAGTCAGACTAACTGCACTGGCATCATCCTCCAAAAAATCCACAATTGTTGGTTTTATTCTTTTTTTCCGTCGGCAGCAATCCGAATATTTCATCAATTGATTGCTTCTAAGCAAGGTCATACATTTGTTTGATGAATGTGGGATCTATAATCTGTCATATTGGGTGTCATCTGACGTGTAGTTCCAGGTGCCCCGGAGAATACGTAAAAAATGGATTGTCATATTGGAGAGCATAGCATCAATTTTTTTTTTTGCCGTGTTGGGTATATTCATCACTGCGACCATTACTTTGATCTATTGTGATATTCCCCGTTTTTATATTGCTTTATCAGTTATGTCGTATCATTATTTTGTGAAGCGACCGACATAGACTGACCAAAAGCATTTTCCCAGCCAGGTATTACATTTCGAATGAAATGTACTACTTTACTGGGACCTGCATTCCAAATATCAAAGGGTTCTGCCAGCACCTTATCCACAAAAATACACCTTTTATTGAAGATTGCTGCACAAGAGCATAGAAGGTGTTCAGAGTCTTCCTTTTCTATGCCACAGAATCTACACATATCCTCTTGAAGTTTTCCTATAAGCTTCAAATGATATTTACATGGACAATGTCCTGTTATCAAACCAGTATAGACACTGAGATCTTTCGGAAATATGAACAGTTTCGACTGCATAGCAATGGAAGTGTTGTTCCAATCGGTCTCCACTTTCATTTTTTTTCCATTTCTTGATCTCCATTTTAAGAGAACAAGTATAAACTCCACAGAATGGTTCTGGTCCTATGAATTGCTGAGATGATCCTAGCCTGGCTAACGTATCGGCTTTTTCATTCCTTTCAATTCCACAGTGGCCAGGAACCCAATATAAGTTTACTTGGTTTTGACAGACCAATTTCTGACGTGACATTGAACATTCCCATACGAGTTTGGAATTGCATGTTGCTGATTTTAAAGCATTTAATGCTGCTTGACTATCAGACATAATGCAGATATTCGAATGTTTATAATTCCTGCGCAAGCATATTACAGAGCATTCAAGAATTGCTTGAATTTCTGCTTGTAACACGGTTGGCCAGTAACCCATGGATATTGAGATATCAATCCCTGCACCAGTTACCCCTGCTCCCACACGGTTGTTCAATCTTGAACCGTCTGTATAAAAAACAGTTGAACCTGGACGGATGTTTGGTCCCCCACTTTCCCAAACATTACGATCAAATTCTGCTGCATTGTATAAACGATCGAAATTATATTTTTTCTCCATCCAGTCTTTATTTTTTAATACAAGAGAATCAATATCAAACATTTTTTAAATGCTAAGGTGTCCTGTAAGATCACCTTCAAGGAAGTACTTTGTTCGTTGAATCCTTAAAGCGCTCCTTTCAGCTTCTAATTGGATAAATTGATGCAACGGAATCAGATAAAGTAGAGCATCTAGTGAAATACTCGGTGTGCTATTCATTGCACCAGTTATTGAGAGAGTAGCTAGTCTTTGCAGTCTCCCCAGCTTCTTCTGAGCCGATTTTTCATTAGTTTTCGGCCACCAAACTAATGATGCGTAGGATATTCTGGGTCTTACAATCGTCAAATAAATCCAGTGGATCATTTTTGGTTTTAGGCCCCATTTCCTACCAAATGTTTTTTTATTTATCCAAAGAGCATTTATTGCCTTATTAACAACCTGATCTATATGTGAATTCCAGTTAAGTTTACTGTCAAGAATAACTCCCAGATTCGTGAAAGTTCTAAAGAGGTTTCTTTCAATTTTAAGTTATTTATAGAAAATTTACTTTTCCGTGTGAACGGTAAAATAGTAGTCTTAGAAGGGTTTATATTCAACCCTTCTTTAGCGCACCACGACGAAACATCATTTAACACAGTTTGCATTCTATTTGAAATTATATTATCAAATTTTCCTCGTACTATTATGACTATGTCATCAGCAATCCCCATTATCTTGAAGCCCTTTGCTTCTAAGTTTTTGAGAAGTTCGTCAACAATTAAAGACCATAAAAGAGGTGAAAGCACACCTCCTTGAGGACACCCTTTTACAGCTCTAACTGTTATGGATGAGCTTGCAAGATTTGCTGAGATTTCTCTTTTAGAAAGCATCTCATTAATCCACTTAACGATGCTTTTGTCGAATCCACGCTTCAACATATTGTTTTTCATGGAGTTATAAGATGTATTATCAAATGCTCCTTCAATATCAATGAATGCTGCTAGTGACATTTCTTTTAATTCAAAACCTTTTTCTAGTTTTGTAACAAGCGTGTGAAGAGCTGTTACTGTTGATTTACCAGCTTGATATGCAAACTGAATTGTTGATATACGTTGATTTTATATGCTGATCTATTATTTTCTCTATTATTTTTAGCATAATGGATGATAAACTGATCGGCCCGAAGGATTTAGAAGAAGTTTTATCCTTTTTATTAGCCTTCGAAATAAATATAACCTTTACTTGACGCCAAGTAATCGGAATATAACTTAATCTTAAGCTTGCTATAAACAAGCCTGTTAGAATAGGTGTCAAAGATTTTTTTTTCCTTTCTGAAGTAGTACTGGAAAAATTCCGTCCCTACCTGGTGATTTGAAAGAAGCAAAAGAATCAATCGCCCATTCGACTCGTTTTTCTGTAAAAATTCTATTGGCCAGATTACGAGCGTCTTTCCTGGCAATCTCTAACCCAGTCGATTCATTCATTGGTGTCTGAACTTCCGTCCTGATTTTTTCAGAGCCAGTTTGCGCTGCACGTGTATTTTGGTCTTCATTTATGTTGGTAATTGAACATGGAAAGTATGTTCTCATCATTGTTTCTAATGTTTTTTCCACATACTTAGTAAAAATACCGTCTTCATTCAGTATCACATTTACCATACTGATATATTCCGAGCTCTAGGAAGTGGCTAGAATCTGATATGAAGCAAATCATTCACAATAATCTAGACCTCCACTGATTGCTTATTTTTGAACTACTTTAAAAAAATATAACATGTATTCCCAACTTGTACGCTCAGATGGCTTCATTTAAAAATTATTAGTAATTTATCTATTTTATTGATTTTTAACGTTCAACGATTTTGAAATTCAACCGACTTTTTCAAGTGTTCAAAAAACTGGTAACATTCTGCCGAATCGTGGGAGAGTTATTTCCTCTTCCAGAGGCCGGACAACTCTTAAGATTTTAGAATTCACCCGCTAAACGTCTTGTTATCACCTTCTACAGTGTATTTCCAAAGTGTGTGCTCCTCGCAGTATTTCTTCATTCAATCAACCTCTTATCTGTCAACTGACACTGACCACCCGGTTGATGGAGCCTTAATGTTTTGACAACTATATTCTATAAAACGCAAATCAGTCTAATAAAGTAGAAAATTTACAACCTATATCAATGAAACATCACCAACCTAAAGGGCATCGATCAAAATTCCATCCTCTGAACAAATGAAACCATCAATCAAAACGCCACTCCATTTAATTTCAACCTAGTAGCAGATCAGCCCTTAACAAAAAAAAACCTTTTTCAAAATCCCTCGCGAGGACCTTCCTGTCCGCCCAGTCCATAAAGCTTACCGTTTTATGAATTGATAATACAAACAATATAATTCACCCCACCTGTCGAAAACTGGTTCGAGCGAATCCGAATCCGATCTTCAACGTTTTGGGATGCTACACGATCGTCACCGAAATCGACCTTGATACTGAAAAAGGTGTCCGTCGGGTGGCCGATCAAGAAAGCAGTACCCCGTTCACCGTTTCATCATCCGTCCGTGTGGTGTTTCATCATAGGCTATCAACTCGGGCCTGGTAAAAATAGACAGAAAATCGGAAAATCACAACTCTAGCAGCTGCGTGAGATCGTATATTTAATTAGGGCCGGGTTAATATGCATGGATGGCACCATATCTAGATCACTGGTTTTGGCGGCCGTTTGTCTTGGCGAAATGTTTGGCGAGCCTTTTCCGAAATGTCTCTTGTCCGGCCAGTATTGACCGAGGATGCCTTGGAGTAAAAAAAAAAACTGCTATCGCTAATCCCAAAGTGGTGAGAGAAGCTTGGCATTGTGGAAGTTAAATTTTTACTCGATTAAAGGATATATAAACTAGAGTAAACTCCGGATGCATCACATCAATTCACCGTCTTCGATCGTGAATGGTTCTTTGCGAGGAACAAAGAGTGTACTCCAGTGTTGTTTGAAAATCGAATTTGAGAGGCCTATCGTGAAGTGTTCAGAATGAAGTGCTTAATTGTGGTAAGGATCGATTGGGAGAAGTGATCAGGATAAGTTTCGGAAAGGACTTCTGAAAATAAAATGGACTGAATGGTGGCAAAAGAAGCCTACCCCATTCAAGTGTTGTGTGCAAACAAGTGATACTGATCGAGAACCAATTTATGTTGAATCTTTGCAGTTTTCGCTCCTAACTTTGGGCTGTGCCTTGGCTCAGAATTTCAACGATGGACGCTACTATCCAGAGCTCCTGAAGAGCAAGTTCGACGACGGACAGTACCGACCGGGTAATGCTAATGGTAATGGAAGAGTTGGTAGCCAAGGATCGTTCGGTGGTTCCGGTAGCCTTGGTTCAAGCGGTACGTGCTAGTGTGAGTTTTCCATAAAAGCAATACCAAATCAATCTCTCTCGTTGCTAGGATTCGGTTCGGGCAGCTCTGGAAGCCGTTTTGGATCGTCCGGAGGTGGAAATCGTTTCGCTGGTGCTGCTCCAGCTAAGGTTGCATTCGTTCCAGCACCGGCTCCAGTGTTCGCTTCATCTTCTTCAGGATTTGGGGCCAGCAACAAGAACAAGGGCTTCGGAAGTTCTAGCAGATTCGGAGGATCCAGCAGCAGTGGCAGCCAGGATGGCATCAAGGAAGACACCCGTGAGCTGAACGAAGATGGGTACTTCTATCGGTTCTTGAACGAGAACCAAATTGAAGTGGCCGAGACGGGACGCATCGATAACCGTGGTAGCGAGAATGAAGTACTTCGTGCCAAGGGATACTACGAATTTGTTGGCGATGACGGTGTCCGCTACCGAGTGGACTACATTGCCGATGAGAATGGATTCCAGCCAACGGGTGATCATTTGCCGACCCCACCACCAATTCCAGAAGAAATTGTCCGTTCTCTGCAGCTGTTGAGTCAGGGTTAAATCAAAAACTGGATGAGTGATATTTAGGATGTAAGATTTTGCTGAGTGCCATGTATACTGTAATGTGAATAAATAGGAGTAATCGTATTTTTCAAATATTATGGCCTTCAGTTTCAGGTACAGAAAGAAACAAATTCCATCGGTAAGATTAGGAAACCTGGGAATCCTCGACTTGCATTTGTGGTATATTGCTATGCATGACATCATATTCACGATCAAATGCTTATCATTGCATTCCTTAATGAAAAATATCCATTAAAAGTGCTTAACGACGTATTCGAGGTTTCATCCAAACCTGTTGTGGAATATTTCTACCATATGGGATATCGAACATTTGTGGTATTTGTTTATTAGGTTTTGTTTCAGGAACACTTCTCTGATTGAAATTACTACGGAAATGTGATGTAAATTATTCCAATACTTAATTTTGTATCGGTGCATTCATGTTTGCTATCCAGAAACGTTTAAGCATTGGTTTATGTTTGTAGTTATGCCTTTCAAAGAATTGGTTCACCATTTACATGGCAGGCAAAAATAAAATATACACTTCAATCAAACTTACCATCTTGTTCTTAAGTTTGGACGATCCATCTATTATGTCACGCTAAATTGAGGATAAATTAACCCCCCCCCCCCCCTTCACCCTTTTCGTGACGTTTTACCTAATATATTGCTTGTCACAAAATCATAAGCCCCCGCTCCCCCCTTAGAGCGTGACATAATATGTACATCACCCCCTAGTTCAAATTTTCAAATAGGGTATAAGTATGGGCTCAGAAATTTATGGTATTAAGGTACATTTCTTTAAGGGTGCAACAATAATCATGAGCAGATTTTACGAACGGTAATCATTATCTTATGTTCATCGCTTTTTAGCTGGCTAAAAATATACAAACAGAAAGTTACCTAAAAGTTACCAAATATAAGGAACAAATGACATTTTAGCAAAGCATCCCCAAACTATAATGTTACCACCCCCGTGCTTCACTGTTTTCTGGACATCCTTTTCCAAAAGCTCCTCGCCCTTTTTTATCCAGACTCTAGATCGCTGACCTTTTTTCCAAAAGGAAATAAGTTTGTCGACATGTTTTTTAAGAAAATTCGAGACGCTTCAGTTTGTTCGGTTTCTTGATAAGTGGACGACGAGATGCGAACTTGTTCTTCAACCCTAGTTGCTGCAGCTGGTGTTGAGTACTTGGCACTGATGAAGTCTACAAGTAGTATTCGAAATACGCGTATCTGTCAAAAGATAAGCAATTAACGGGTGTTCAATAAAAAATGAGAATTTTTTCAGTCATATAGCTAGTGAAAAAGAAATTTCAACGAATTCATTATTTTTTATTAAAAACATAATGTTTATTCTTCAAAAAACGTCAATGAATATTGGAGAAGGGGCCCTGGTCAGCCGTGCGACGCAACTTAGTCGCAATGCTCCCACTAGAGCGCTGGACGGCACTGAAATCATTCTCATTTTTTATTGAACACCCGTTATAACGGAATTGAAAGGAAATAAATAAAATCACTCAAAAAGCTCTTCATTTAAACATTGTGCACTAAACATTGGCCAGCTATCGAATAAGTGGGGAGGGAGGGGGGGTGGGGTGGTTATGGGGTTCAAAAAAAATGCAGAATTAGCTTTGACGCCGATTAGCTGGACACTATTATACCGAACGCTATTATACCGTACACAGTTAAAAAAATAGTGTAAATTTGCGTTAATATGGTGCACATCAAAGGAGCGTCATACATCACACAAGTTTACATTACAGATCGTGTAAATTTATGCATGCATGGATGATTACATCACCAGTAAAATTCTGAATTTTTAACTGTGTATGGATTACTAGGTCGATCGTCGTTTAACTGAATTTTGAATTTTCAGCCATACTTTGGCATATGTCATCGGTATTTTCTTAATTGGTATAAAAATACAAAATTTTTATAAATAATTTATCCAGGGTGCCAGAAACTTTCCAAACTCTAGGGATTGTATTCAAGTTTCAAGTTTTTTTTCTAGTCGTATTAAAATTAGGTTAATTTTAAGTCTTACAATCCTCTGATTTTCCACTCCTGGATCTTTTTAATTTCCTAAGAAACCCCTCACTACATATTTTTTTTTAATTCCCATGCTTTTTATTAGTAACAAGTTTCAAGTTATCTCATTTAAATATTTGATAAAGATGACGGGAATCATGTTCAATAACATTAGGAAGAAACCCAGAATTAATAATTAACCAGGGTGGGATAGTGAAAAAATGGTTTGCGAATGATTTAAGGAATCTAAAGCTTGCGAGAAATTAAGATCCAAAGAATAAAACAAACTCATGTTTTGCTCGATATCTGAATTTTATTTTTACCAGATAGTGACAGATTTTTAAAATTCGGAGTCTTGTATAATTTTAAATTTCTCCTGCTTCGGTAACTGTTGAGCGCTTCGAACAAATTTTTTTTAAACCAACACTTATAAAAGGATCATAACCTTTTAATAATAGTCCTTTTTTATTGTTGTCCATAAAATCAACTTTAAAGATTAGCATTAAGAAAATTTTACAATATTTTTGTGAGTCCGACAATTGAGCAAAGCAAAATTATAAAACATCTTCAGCATCCCTAATTTATTAAAATTTTCAATAAACGAATAGTTATAGAGATGTTGCACGTTTTTTTTTTGTATGAAAAGGATTTTAATATCTTACAATTCGGCAAATGTTCAATACTTAAGGATTTCTTATTTTTATCGAAGACATTCCCAATTCCTCATAAAATCTCATCTATTAATCTTTACCATTGCAAAATTATGTTTGAAGACGTAGTCTTATTAGAGACCTACCATCCAATTTTTTCAATAATCATCAGTATAATTAACTTGAACATTTTTTAGAAACATTTGATTTTAGATTTATCTTAAAGTATGGGTAAGGATTAGATAAAAAAAGGCACTTATGATTATTTTAAGGACATCCAACCCAATTATGATGATTTTGAAATATATATTCACAAGCGAAATTTCTAACACACTCGAAACAGTTTGGATGCTAATTGGAATTCCCTACAAACTTTCACCAGCTACTGATTTTTTTTTTAAATTCACTCTGCAAATTTACTATATGTTTAGTATTACTTCTGCGTAAAGTCAACGATTTACATAGTTGAAGATGCTAATTTCAAATAACAGGCTGAAGTGGTAATTTTTTTTTTCGTTTAAAATCGTATAAAAATTACCACTACCAGTCTGTTATTTGAAATTAGCATCTTCAACTACGTCACTCTACAGTATTGTTGGTTTTCTCATGAAACCTCGCACTTCAGTTTCTTCTATGTATAAAATACTCTTGTTATAATCATAACAATTCCATTGGTAATTTCTTCAGATGTACTTATAAGCATTTTTCAAAAACCTTTGGAAATTTACCTCTGACCTGCTATTGAAGTTTGCTAATATTTTTTTTTTTTTTTTTTAAACTTTCCTCAGAACTTTGATAAAAATTCTTATATTACCTTATTTTCCCGTCCTTATGAAGGATTTTTTTTTTAACGTAAAACATAAGCACTTCATGCATGGTTTTAGAATAGTAGGTCTTTTAACAACAGTTCATGAGTTATTAGAGGAATATGGGATACACTAAATATGGGAGTATGGAGTTAAAAGTAGAACCTCACTAAATTTATTTTAATTCATAAACATTTTGAACGATGAAATTTTTTTTAACGACCCCAAAAGCTGCCTGCAATAAAACAGATTTTTATTTTTCGAAATTTTAAGGCTAATTGGGTTTAAATTAGCTTTAAGTTGATTGCTATCTTTTTTAAAACAGTTCTCTTTTTTGCCTATATATTTAATGACCTTGAAGGGAAGTTCACAGCTCAAAAAAAAAATTATAACGTTTTGATTTTTCTAAAAATATTGGAAAAAGATATCAAAAAACCAAAAAAAAAAACATTTTTCTAAATACGTTCTTTATAAGTCATCATGCACTTCCGATTTTGCTAAAAAAATGTCATGATGAGACAAAAAAAAAATATTTTTACATGTAAATTGATGTTATTGTATTTTTGATAATGTTTCCCTAAATTTTTAGAAAAAATTAAAACTTCCAGGAAAAGATTATTGGGACGGTACACTTCCCCTTAAATTCACATTTCAATGTCAGAACAATATTGATACAACATTGCTAATTGAGCCCAATTTTATATATACAAGGAAGTTTTGAGCATGCTTGGCATACACAGTTTTGGTCACGAACTGCTAATTTACTAATGACTTTGAACACAGTTTACTAAACATAGTTCTCTTTGAAGTTTAAGTGTATTCTAGTGTATTAGCTTGTTATAGATATGTAAAAAAACGTTAATTTTAATTCAAGTAATAAACTATATTTTTTTTGCGATGTGAAATGCTCGCTACACTTCTCGGATTTTAAGTGTAAAAATTCATTGGTTGATTCCAATGTTAATATAGACCTACTCTTTGCATATCTATTGTAAACAATGATCCTAATCTAGCAATAATTTAAAAGAAAAACAAATTTCAACAACTGAGTGAAAAATTATTAACAAATAAACGGTTGGTGTGTAGAACTGTGCATGCCAAGCATGGTTTTGGAGTCAAGGGTGGAATTTGGAGTGCAATCTATGGCAGTTTTTAAAATGATAAATGGTGTAATTTTCTGAGTAAACAAGTAGAATGACGCATATAAAAACAAAGACTTTTAAGATTAAGGTATATTGAGGAAAATGGGCCTTATTTTCAATAAAATGTTCAAATGGATTTACTTCTTCCATCTTGCAAGCATTTTTAATTTGTTTATGTCTATATGCATGAAGCTGCAGCCTACTTAAACAATAAAATAAATGGAAAATCTTTCTCATTGAACCCATGTTTATAAAATAGAGAATATCAAGTTGGAAATATTAGAGAATCTGGTTTGAAATATGTCATGGACTTTTTTAATTTATTACAATGCCAAATGAATAAATTTATTGAGTCATCAAATAGATTGCTCACAGAAAAGAAGAAACCATTTTTGAATAATCATAGTATATTCGGAAGAATGTG